TGGAGCTAGGACCGCTCTTGCCAGCTCTGGCCCACTGGGAATCAGTAAAATTCACAAAGTGAGTGGTGTGTCCTTTGCTTTGCAGACAGCAGCGCCTGGTCAGCAGAAGCTGGTTGTCATTTCTGTCTCACCGCAATCCAGTGCATCGCTGGCTGCAAGATTTCAGTTGAATCCTACAGACACCGCCAAGAAGTTAACTGCATTCTTTAAAAAACTAGGTAGGTGGAGAACCTTGAGTGAGCAGCACAGTTTGAAACACATAGGCATTGGGGGTGGGGGGGCTCTTCACGCCTCCAAATCACTGAACTTAGAACATGTCAGAAACTCTATTGTGAGTTTGACTTCAACTTGAAGTTTTTGCTTGGAAGCAGTGCCATTTAAGACAAAGCCATCTGAATCCTGACTTTGCACTCTCCCAGGTCTGAAATTCACCCACTCTTTATATTGTTTCTGAATTACTACTTATCAAGGCACATTTCCCAGGTCCGTGCTGGGTCTGGCTCAGATCTAATGGCTAACCTCTCTTTGTATGCTGGGAGCAGGGAGGATGTGAGGTGAGACCAGTGCAGACCAATGTCCTAGGCAGATGCTAAGTGCAGATGAAGGAAGCCAGTTGTCACACACAGGCTTCCCAAGTATCAGCACAGACTGTCCACAGCACCAGTGTGTCCTGTGACACTAGAACTGTGTGCTTCCTGTGGCCACTGTGGAAGATAGACCCCTGCTCCTGGTGACATGGTCAGCAGCACCTCACACCTTGGCCATCTCTCATGGGGCTTGGGGGTACTCACCTTCCAGGGGCACACTATGTGTTTGATACCGCCTTCTCGAGGAACTTCAGTCTCCTGGAGAGTCAGCGAGAGTTTGTGCGGCGATTCCGGGAACAGGCCAACTCCAAGCAGGCCTTGCCAGTGCTGACTTCTGCATGCCCAGGTATGCTCACACTGCTGACGCCAGATCAGATGGACGTGGGTAGTGGGAATGCTGGATGGGGAGGCGAGAGGGTTCTGTCAGCCCAGAACGACCTCTTTGGCAGAAGGAGCTGCTCTGCTGTGAGAGTCACGTGTAGTCACTTCAGTTCCCCCAAGACAGTAATCACGTGGATACTAGAAATAGAGTGGGGAAGTTCTTTAATGGGATAGGACTCTTTGTATAAGTTGGTCCACCCCCAGAATGTCATGTCACAGCCAACGGTGAGAGGTGACTTATGAGCCACCCCCATTTGTTCCATGTTGGCCTCAGGCTGGATCTGCTATGCTGAGAAGACCCATGGGAGCGCCATCATCCCCTACATCAGCACGGCCAGGTCCCCACAGCAGGTCATGGGCTCCCTGGTTAAGGACTTCTTTGCCCAGCAGCAGGTAACAAGGACATTCCAACCTTGAATGACTGTGTCATTGTCTTGAAAGATGAGCCAAGGCTTGCAGTGTCCAGGGACCCATTCACAGACTCATGGTCACTCCGTGGCTGTTTTAGCCCACACCTACCATGTCACCCTGTTTCACCCTAACAGGATCCCTTTACTAGTGGGGTCAGGCAGTAACTCCACATTTCCACATCTCTCCATGCAGCATGTGACCCCTGACAAGATCTACCACGTGACAGTGATGCCTTGCTATGACAAAAAACTGGAAGCATCCAGACCTGACTTTTTTAGCCAGGAACACCAGACCCGAGATGTGGATTGTGTCATCACGACAGGTGTGGGTCCTGCCACCCTAAGCCCTTGTACCTCTGGCTGTGGTTCCCCAAGCCCAGGGCACAGGCTGGCATTGCCTGGATCCTGCCCACAGGCTCTGGCTGGAGCTGCCGTCCCCTGTGCAGAGCACCTCAGGGCCTAGCATGAGGCAGGGGCTCTCCCTCAGAGCCTGGTTGGTATTTACACTGTCTTATCTCAGAGACCTGAAGTATCTCCCAGCACCACCAGTGTTTGCTCTAAAATAATCTGTACGAGAAGATGGGTGGAGAGTTTTGTGTCAGCCTTTTAGCTCACACTGGTTATCCCATTTCTGAGTGGAGCAGCCTCACAGGGTCTCTGAATGCTTAAAAAAAACAGAAAATAAATGCTGGAGAACTCGGTCAGGGGAGGGTCTCATGCATAAGCACGTGCCCAGATGTGACGGGCACACTACTGTGGGCGCACTTGGGGACAGGCATTCTGAGCCCCACCAAGTTGCTGTGAAGGTGGATGCAGTCCCAGGGCAGAGCTCTTGAGAGTCTTCAGAAGTGGAGTCTCCTTCACCCCTGTGGCCAGGTTTGTCCTCCACCCACAAGCTAGGGGTGCACATCCAGGCCTCAGGTGACAAATTACAGGTTGCTAGGGATACAGATAACCTGAGTGTTCTTTGAAGTTCTCTGTTCCTACTGAAGTCCCAGCTGACGAGCACTGTCTGTGGTTCCACGATAGGAGAAGTTTTCAAGTTGCTGGAAGAAGAAGGGGTGTCACTATCAGAAGTGGAGCCAGCCCCCTTGGACAGTGTGTAAGTCACTACCTGCCGCGGTGGGAGGAATGAATGCACACTGGTGTCGGGGCAGTTTCAACATTGGAGGTCACAGGTGTTCTGACAGGCAGCAGAAGCACGTGGTGATAGGCAGTGTCCCCTCTCCCTACCTCTTCCTGCAATGGCTTCCTTCTGGTTGGTTCCATGCCTGCCCTATGGTCTGTCTTGGTGTCCACAGAGCTGGTTGTCATCAGAAATGACCCCAACTTTATACAGGTCTGAGCTCACCAGATACAGGTGACTCAGTGGAGAACAGTCTTCTCCTACCTCCTGGCACACCAACAAAGCCCCCAGGGGCCCATAACTCATTCTCACTTAGAAAGCAAAGCCCCTCAACCATGAAAGACAGAGGTCACCTGGAAGCCGCAGGAGATAGCAGCCCTGCTGCCACCTGAGGCCTTACTCTCCTCCCTAGGTACAGCAGCGTGTCTGCCCATGAGCCCACCAGCCATCGAGGCGGGGGCTCAGGGGGCTACCTGGAGCATGTGTTCCGGCATGCAGCCCAAGAGCTCTTTGGAATCCATGTGGATGAGGTCACATACAGACCCCTGAGGTCAGTGGGAAGGGCTGCAGTTGGCAGCCTCGGCCCTGGGTCCCCTTGCTGAGGTGGGCTTGGTGGAAGACAGTGAGCTGGGTTTGGTGCAGATCCTGAGTCACTGGACAGGAGCTGGTCCTCCTCTCTGGCTCGCCTGAGTGGGCCAGAACTCTCCAGCCCTTGTCTTCCTGTTATAGAGGTCAGTGTCCCCTGCCCACACTACAGCAGTCCAGAGACCCGAGAGGCTAGTGGTGCCAGGGTGGTGTGCCTGGCAGAGACTGTCCCATTGGGACATCCCATCCCACAAAAGGAGGGTGGGGCTTTGTATCTGACCTCACCACGCCACACAGCCATCCTTGGGAAGTGGGGTTTCCATTCTGCAGATCAGGAAACAGGCTAGGGTGGGGTCACCTGCTGACTCATGGAATTAAACCTTCTGCCCTCCCTCTCTATCACTGTCCTCCACTGGGAGCTGGTGAGGTTGGCATCCGCGTCTGTGTGGGTGGGGATGAGCATGGTGGTCTCTGCTCCCCAGGAACAAGGATTTCCAGGAGGTGACGCTGGAGAGTGAGGGCCGTGTCCTGCTACACTTTGCTGCAGCCTATGGCTTCCGTAACATCCAGAACCTGGTGCAGAAGCTCAAGCGAGGGCGCTGTCCATACCATTATGTGGAGGTCATGGCCTGTCCCGCAGGTATTTGCAGCGGGCCCACTCTGCACAGATGGTGCAGGGGACCCTTGTGGGGCCCTGACCCCTGGTGTGTGAACACCCTCCCCATGACCATGCCCTCATCCGTCCTATTCTGCCACAGGTTGCTTGAATGGTGGAGGCCAGCTCAAGGCCCCTGAGATGCCTGGCAAGGAGCTTCTCCAGCATGTTGAGAGGCTGTACAGCATGGTCAGGACGGAGGCACCAGAGGATGTGCCTGGGGTCCAGGAGCTGTATGAGCACTGGCTGCATGGTGAGGGCTCGGAGCGTGCTGACTGCCTATTGCACACAAGCTACCACGCAGTGGAGAAGGCCAGCTCTGGCCTCAGCATCAGGTGGTAGAAGGGCTCACCATAGCCAGTGCCAGGACCTCAGGACCCCAGGGCTTGCCCCCAAAATGCTGGGTGGCTGCGAGGATATGCTGGAACCCACATAGAGATGGAATTCAGGACCCACAGCCAGTAAAGGTGACTTCCAGCCTGCACTCACCTGGACTCCCCAGTGCAGGCCAGAGTTTCCATAGGGTACTGGAACCTCTCCACAGGCCCATGTCTACAGGCAGTGCCCTTGCACTTCCTGGTTGTGGTGACCCAAGTGTGTGAAGGTTTCAGCCAGTCTCATGAAGAGCTTAAGGCAGAGCAAAAGTGGGGGGGTTCTCCCCCATTTCTAGAGTTACTCCTGAAGCTGAGGTAGGGATGGGCTAGACCTGCTGGGCTGGTTAAGCTTACAGCCCAGTATGGTGAACTCTCTTGCACATGGCAGCAAAGAACACTGGCAGGAAAACGGCACCCACCCATGTCATCCCATGCTGGGGAAGCGGTGCCCACTCCACCTGGTGGTTCCAGCTGGAACCAGGTGTTTATTTTGACAAAGGTGTGGCCTACAAGGGCCTAGGGACCTATGTTCTCCACCGCTAGATCCCCATTTACAGGGTGGAGGAAGGGAGGGAGAGAACACATTGGGCTCTACCTATTAGGCCTGTCCCTACTGAGCTCCACCTGTAATAAAGGGACTTCCCTCTGGAAACAGCTTCTAAGAGCTTCTGCCAACATTGAAAAAAGGCTTTTCAAAGTTTTAAAGTTCAGCTCGGCCGGGTGTGGCTCAGCGGTTGAGCGTCAACCTAGGATCCAAGCCATCAGGGTTTGATTCCCGGTCAGGGCACATGCCCGGGGCGATCCCCAGTTGGGGGCGTGCAGGAGGCAGCCGATCAATGACTCATCATTGATGTTTCTGTCTCTCTCCCTCTCCTTTCCTCTCTCTGAAATCAATAAAGATATATTTTAAAAAAAAAAAGTTTTAAAGTTTAAAAGCCCTGTGCGTTCAAAAGCCCTGTGCACCCTGCTAGACTGTTTTCCAAACATTCAGGTCTCAGGGCTCAAGTGCGCCACAGAGAGGGGCCCACGTGTCCAGCACCAGGAAGTACCAGAGTGCCCACTCTCCATGGCTGGGCAGCCAGTTGGGTGGGGCTGGGACTTGCTTCTTAACTCCATAGCAGATCCATGGAGATTCACTTTGGTTAAGGTGTGCTCAAGAGCCCCCCACTGCAGCACCAGGAGGGCCTGGGACTGACTGCAATGGCTCAGCCACCCACCTGCTCAGTTCTCCCACTTCCTGCAGAGCACACCCAGGACCACCTTCCCAGCCAATTTGCTCACAGACTCCTCTCTGCGCCATAGGAGCTCAAAGGGGGACTGCTGGGCAGGTGCTGGCAGAAGACACTTAAGGAGCAGCTTCTCCTCAGTGCCAGTCAGCCCAATAACAACCGTTCCCTGGACACCTCCCTCCATGTCCAAATGCCTACCAGGGAGACCCCAAGAAAAGTGGGCTGGCCCTGGGTTCTAGTCCTCCCACCCTCCGGCCCTCACATGGACATTGCAGGGCTCCACAAACTTGAGGTTGTCCAGTGTGTGCTCAATGGCCACAGAACACCTCCTGGAGAAAGGCGCTTGAGGCGCACAACACTACCACAGGCATATATGGGGGAGGCACGCACCCTGGCTGGCCTGGCCAGGCCCCCTCCCCAGATCCAAGCACCTCCTGTGCAACTCTCACCACACCCAGCCTGCCCTGTCCTGGCTGGCAAGCATTCCATACCCCTGGAACAAGGTATGTGCACAGCCTGTGGGTTGTGCAAGGAGGATGGGCCCCCAAAGGAGGGGAAGGGACAGGTCATTCACTCTCTCGGGGCAGGGTGCCCAGGGTCTCCAACAGGCTCTGGTATATCTGCTGAGCCATGCTCTCCAGGTGCCAACTGCAGCCAGCCACAGACAGCAAGTTCCCTGGGAAGGAAGGCAGGTCCGAGGAGGAGGTGGGTGCGGGGCTGTCGTACTGGAGAACACAGCAGGCACATTGGGACGCTCATCTTCCCACAGGAAGTAGCTCGTGACAAGGTTGGCTGGGCCTCAGGAGGCAGCACATGTGGATGGCCCCAAACTGCTGCAGAGGATCAGCTGGGTGAGGTAGGCATCCCAGGTGTGTGCTCACCAGGAGCTCCTTGCCATGTGCCAGTCTGTGGGTCAGCACACATATGTGCTTGTCACCCAGCACCAGCACCACCAGCCTTGGCCACTCCGCATTTCCTGAGTGTGGCCCATGCAGACGGTGGAGTAGGGCCAATGCCCTTAAGGTTCAGCCAGCCCCAACAACACCACTGGTGGTGGATGGTCAGTACCGTGGTCAGTGATACCCCCTCCTGGCCCACCATCTCCAGTAGCTGAAGGGGACAGGAGTTAAGGAGTTGCAAATACTCCAGGTGCCCCCCGCCCAGGTCTGGCATGCACAGCACCCTAGGCAGGCCATTTAAGGTGAGGGTGGCGGGGGAGATCCAGCGTTTACTGAGCTTCAGAGTGTATGGAACAGGCGCCAGAAGGGAAAAGAGGCAGAGGCGGCGGTCCTAACCCCAAAGGAGACCCAAGTTACAATCAAGGAACCCTAAATGCCAAACCACCAGAGATGAGAGCAGAGGAAGGATCTGCTCCAACCAGGGTGGTCGGGAGCCTCTAACGGGAGACTGGCCAAGAAACCTGGGCCCACATCCTGCCCTCACCCTCTTGGCCATGTCCATGCTCGATGACTAGACCATGTAGTTTTCAAGCACAGGGATGACCTTCAGGGGTCGTAGAGCTCATCCACTCCGTGCCTCCCCCAAAACAGGCTCCCAGCCTTCCGAGCTCCTTCCTCGGGGTGGAACTTCCCTCTCCCGGTCCTAGGCAGGGCTGTGCGGGGGAGGGGTCAGCTCCCCACACACCCTGGGGCCAGGATACCCAGAGGACCCGGCTGGAGTCCCTCTCCCCAAGCTCACGCTGACCGGCGGCTGCAGACGCCAGCTCCCTACCAAGCTACTGACGGCTGCAGGCCGCGCCCCCTTGAGCTATGCCCCCCAACCCGTTTTCCCGGCCACGCCTTCCCCCGGCTCCGCCTCCATCCCAAGTCGGGGTCCAGGTAGGCCACGCCTCCTCCTGCAGGCCCCTGCCCCGCCCTCCCTGCCGCCTCACGCCGC